GGGTGGGAGGAGACGATGTCCCCTATTTAAAAGAAATCAATCCTGGATGAGGTTGAATGCAATCTAAAAGATTTATGAGGGTGATATTAGACTGTTTAATATTACATAGGTGCCATAAACTCCTCATTAGACTCCAGTGTGAGTGAAACCTCTTACCTTTCCTGTCCAGCTGACCCCTTTCCAAATACAGAAGTACACCAGGACCCAGGCGATGGCCAGCGTTATCGCCAGTGGCACTCGAATCTGGCCTGGTTTTTCCAAGCCGTCGGTCATTTGATGCACGTTGAGCCTATAAGAGGAGCGCACAGGGTGACTAAAACTCGCAGAAGCGGAAGGCTGGAGGCATGCAGGGTACTTGAAGGCATCGCCACCATTGAAAATAAAAGCAGGGAAGAAAACGGTCTTACTCCCAGAACTCCACCACAGCACTGGTGAGGTTGGTGGTATCAGCGATGGAGTAGTTTGTGTAACATTTTTCTGTGTTCCATAGATTGTTACACGAGCTCCATGGTAGATCCTGAAGAGAAAAAAAACAGAAAGAAACATTACAGCTTCCCCGTTTAGCTGTGGGGATTTTTGTACAGCTCATGAGTTTGACCTTTTGGTTGCAGTTTCAGTTTTTAATGAGCTCATACTTACAGTGGTGAAGGAGTTGTACAGGTAGTAAATGGCCCAAGCAATGATTATAATGTAGTAGATGTTGAGCCAAAAGGAGAGGACGGCTGCTGCGAGGCCCACACCTGACATATGGAAAATTTGAGTTTGGTTGATATTTTATCAGGACACAACAACCTAAAGTGCAGTTTCATTGATGTACCTTTAAACATAGGAGCCAGTTTCCACACACCAAGTCCTCCAATTGATGTGTACTGACCGAGGGAGCATTCCAGTAAGAACAAGGGGACCCCAGCAAAGATCAGGGTCAAAAAATAAGGGATCAAGAAGGCTCCTGGATGGACAAGAGGACATCTGATCAGGTTAGGTATTTGCAAAACCTGCCTTCAGTGAAAACAGGGCTGCAATGAGCTTGTGCATAAATTTGCAGTAAAAAAAATACAAATAAAAACAGAGAAATCATGTTTACCTCCACCGTTTTTCCCACACAGATAGGGAAATCTCCACACGTTCCCCAGTCCAATTGCATAACCCACGCAAGACAGGAGGAAATCAAATTTGCCCACCCATGTTTCTCTGGCCGGCAACTCCTTTTTCGTCTTCTCGGGCTTCACGTCCAGGGATTTGGGCTTGTCATTGTTGGTGGCCACCACCTCGTTCAGTTCCGTGACCTGTCCGTCCGTTTTGGTGCCGTTCGTCGCCATGTCTCTGGGTTTGGCGAAGGTCCTGGCGGGAGGACGGGAGACTTCAGCACCGGTCCACGTAGACAGCAGCTTCGCGGTTTATTTAGTTATTTCTTTTTTTGCCGGCTGCCCTTCGGACCAAAGCGTTCTTCAGACGTTGAAGAAGCCCCCCTTTTGCGCGCGCGCGCGCAAACACACACAGACAGACACGCACACACACGTGCGCGCGCGCGCGCCTGGTCAGTCGCGCTTAACCTATGAACAGGGATCGTGGATAGAAGCGGATTCAAGAGGTGCGCAGAGAATTTCGTTCAGTCAAACCAGAGCATTTAACATCAAGCTGTTTTAAATAAAAATAAAACTTTAAATGCACATTTAATCATTTGACTCCATTCATGTCAGACTGAAGAAACGCCAGAAAAAAAATCATCGATGGCAGAGAGAGAAATGCTGACTTGCCTCCACAGCTAGACGACAGACAGATCATTTAACAGCCAAAAACAGATCGTTATTCCAAAGTCTGCAATTAAATGTGCCCCAACAGCAAACATTAAAAAGAGTGATAGAAAGAGAGGGAGAGATAAGAGGCTGGCAGCAGAAGCAGAGAGAGAGGGAGAAAGAGAGAGATGGAAAAAAAAGTTAAATGAAGATCAGAGCATCCAAAACATGCACTTTGAAGCGCAGGACGCGCCGTACCAACAGCGTCTAGCCTATGAGAACGAAGCACATGAAGTCCTCCAGTTTACCACCTCCAGGTCCTCCTAACAGTCCACCAGAACTGGGAGCAGCCGAGAAGAAGCGATCGAGGGGGAAAGAAACACAAATGCAGAGTGGAAAACAAAAGGGTGTCCAAAATGCGTAACAGCTTTACGCATCCGTCTGCGCACGTTCAGCCCGATGAACTGAACACCAGAGCGCGTCTGCACATCTGCAGCAGCCGAGCAGACTGATAAACACACATCGACCCTGCGCCTAATGAGATATAGATTGTTGCTTTAAAGATTAAAATGCACCCCAGCAGCATCGGCACCAGCAGAGGAAATCACAGTCCAGTCCAGCTCCCAGAGGCAAAAATAAAACACAAAACGTGCGCTCTGCTCCCTCACTCCTTCATATGGAGGCTGATGAAGAAAAAAACCGCACGCGCACAGAACCTGCACCGTTTTTGTTTCTTGCCTTTTTTTTTTTTTTACTCACAGAGACTCAGAGAATCCGCTCGGCACAAATCTCCAAACGATCCCTCCTGTGGCTGAAGTTGTAAACTCCCGATGTTCCTCGAGACATTAATAGATTTTACTTCCATTAAAAGCCTGGTGGAGGAGCGTTAGATGAGAGTAGAGGTGTGTGTGTGTGTGTGTGTGTGTGTGTGTGTGTGTGTGTGTGTGTGTGTGTGTGTGTGTGTGTGTGTGAATATTGAGGGGACGAGGGGGGCGGGGGAGAAGAGAAGAGTCCAGGCAGGAGCTGTCCGGCGGGGAGCAGTGCTGAAGAGCAGAAGGAGGAAGAAGAGGAAGAGGAGGAGGAGGAGGAGGAGAAAAAGAAGAGGAGGAGGTTGAATGAACAGCAGCAGCCGCTTCGCCTCTTGCCACTCTGTCTAACATCAACAAGCAGGGGACTCAAACTCCCATCTCCACAGCCTCAATGTCATCTCAAAGTCGCCCCCCCCCCCACCACCACCACCACCACCACACACACCTCCTCCTCTTCATTTGTTCCTCATCCTCATCTGTAGACTGTTCTGACATCACACCTGGATTATTCACTTTGGCTCCTATCTACCTAGTTATTGTTATTTTGGGGGCATTCACTTTTTTATCTGTTAAATCTGAAGCAAATAAATAAATAAATAAATAAACTTCTGCTGAATTTTAGAGTGAGTTATTGTCAGATTATAGAGGCTTTAAAAAAGATCATTTCCTTCTTGCATACACAAAAAATGAATGGCTGAGGTGCCAAATAAAAGTGTGTGTGTGTGTGTGTGTGTGTGTGTGTGTGTGTGTGTGTGTG